AAAAGCCAAGGAAAAGTGAATTTGGGACAAAAAGAAGCCTTATCCTACTGAGAAAGAAGATCCTGTAGATTAAATCGAGTTTTTTTTTTTTGTTTGTTTTTTTGGAACTGGAATAACTTGGCAATGAAACGAACAAGTGAAGGGTTTCTCTTAGTTTGACACTATTTTCTTGAAGCCTAGGGGCCTCACAGAGAGAGATCATAGATCAAGCTTCCATTAGCCTTGGCACTTTCTTTGTTTTTTTTTTTTCCTTAGGTGAAATGTAAATGTAGTTCATTCTTCATTCAACAATTACTTATTGAGAATAGATTCTATGCCAGGTTCTGCACTAAGCACTGAAGAGTCTGCGATGAAGGTGGACAGGCATGGCTCCCACATACTGGTGGTGAATAAGAAACTGTAATTCTTAGAGTGCTGAGTTCACAAAGGTGCTGTGAGAGCCAGACAAGAATTGCTAACCTGGTCTCAGGATTAGAGCGGCTGCCCTGAGAAAATGTGCTTAAGCTGAGACCTAAAAGCTGATGAGGAGTTAGCTAAGCCAAGAGTTGGGAGAAGAGGGAAGAGCACGCACAAATGCCTTGAGGTGAGAAAGAGTCAGCATGGCTGGAATGGGGGCAAAGAGGGGAAAAGTATGGGAGAGTGATGGGAGATGAGGCTCGAGAGGTTGGCTGGAGCAGATTGTGGAGGGCCGTGTAGACCATGGTAAGGGGTTGGACCCAAGAGCAGTGGTAAGTCACTGTGGGGGTTTAAGCAGGTATGAACAGATACACCTTTTATAACTGATTACAGTGGCTACAGTGTGGGGAATAGAGAAAGCAAGAGTAAATATGCTGGGGCCAGCTGGGAGGATGTTGATATTGTCCAGGTGATGGTAGCTGAGGCTGGAGAGAAGGGACAGGTTCTAGAGCTATTTCAGAGGTCACATGGACCAAACTTGTTGACTGACTAGTTATGAGAAGTGAGAGAGAGAAATCATCAAGCTTGATTTATGAGAGCATGACAGCCAGTTAGGCCTCAGATTTTATCTGAATGAGCAGAATCAATTCAGGCTTTTTATATACCAGATGACCCAGAAGTCTCTCTCTTTCCTCCCTCCCTCCTTTTGCTCTTTCTTTGTTTTATGAAAGTTGGCATATAGTTGGACCCTAATAAATGGATGAGGCCCTGGTGGTGCAGTGGTTAAGCATTTGGCTGTTAACCAAAAGGTCGTTAGTACAAATCCAACAGCTGCTTCTTGGAGACCCTATGGGGCAGTTCTACTCTGTCCTGTAGAGTCTCTATGAGTTGGAATCGACTCAACAGCAACGGGTTTTTTCTTTTTGGTTTAATAAATGGATGTTGAATAAGTAAAGATCAAAAAAAGGTGAGGTAGTAACAACAACAGTTGAGTAATATCACCAAAGTTGGCAAAGACACCAAGGAAATAGGAAGAGAAAAGACGGACATTTAGAACATATATGAAAAGATACTCAAAACTAATAAAAAACTGCATGAATGGTATCTTGTGTCCCAAATCCCTTTCTCTTTAACTGTTGCAGAGCAACAGGTTTGTGCTGTGTAAAACTATTCAACAGTTCATAGTACCCTAAAGGTGACTTGAAACATTTTAATAAAGACCTTGTAGGCAGTGATGTATACAGGGATTCTCCTTAATGATTTTTAAAAACTTTTTATTTCAAAATTATCTCAGAGATTTATAAGACTAGTATAAGAATTTTCCGATATACTCTTCACTTAGCTTCACCAGTCACTAACATTTTGCTGTGTTTGCTTTACCACTGCCCCCATATAGATATTTACCAGTTGCCGTCAAGTTGATTACAACTCATGACAACCCCATGTGTGTCAGAGTAGAACTGTGCTCCAGAGAGCTTCCGATGGCTGATTTTTTGGAGTTAGATCACTGGGCCTTTCTCATAAAGTGACTCTGGGTGAGCTTGAACCTCCAGCCTTTTCATTAGCAGCCGAGTGTGTTAACCCATTGCATTGTCCAGGGACTACTTAGATAAGGAAATAGAGATGGAGATTTAAAATTTTTCAAACCAGATAATTGCAGACATCAGGACCCTTCACCTCTAAATACTTAACTGTGTATTTTCTAAGAATAATTAATTTTCTTATATAACCAAAATGTAATTATTAAATTCAGGAGATTTAACATTATGCAATACTATTATCTAATATGCTGTCTATATTTAATCTTCACCAATTTTCTCAGTCCCTGGAGAAGGACATCGTGTTTGGTAAAGTAGAGGGTCAGTGAAAAAGAGGAAGACCTTCAACCAGATGGATTGACACAGTGGCTGCAACAGTGGTCTCAAACACAGCAACAATTGTGAGGATGGTGCAGGACCAGGCAGAGTTTCATTCTGTTGTACGTGGGGTCGCAATGAGTCAGAATCAACTAGACAACAACAGCAACAACAACAATTTCCCCAAAATGTCACTTACAGCATTTTTTTCCTCCTGATTCAGGATCCAGTCTGGAAACATTGCATTTCATTATTATGCCTAGTGTCTTACTCATCTAGTGCTGCTCTAACAGAATTATCACAAGTGGATGGATTTACAAAGAGAAGTCCATTCTGTCACAGTCCAGCAGGCTACAAGTTCAAATTCAGGGCATCAGCTCCAGGAGAAGGCTTTCTGTCTCCGTCAGTTCTGGAGAAAGGGCTTTTTAATGCATCAGTCTTTCCTTGGTCTGAGAACTTCTCTGTGCAGGAACCTCAGGTCCAAAGGATGCACTCTGCTCCCGGCACTGCTTTCTTGGTGCTGTGAGGTTCCTGTGTGTCTCTGCTCATTTCTCTCTTTTATATCTCAAAAGAGATGGGATTAAGACACTAATCTTGTAGACGTCATCAGTATAACCTCATCATAGTGATAGAGTTTACAACACATAAGGAGATCCCATACAACCTCATCATAGTGATAGAGTTTACAACACATAAGGAAATCACATCAAATTACAGAATCATATACACTACTGGGAATCATGACCTAGTCAAGTTGACAGATATTTTTGGGGGACACAATTCAAGCCATGACACCTAGTTAGGCTTTTTGAACCTGGAATATATCCTCATCTTCCCTTTGAATTTTAAGGCACTGATATTTTAGAGGACAGCAAGCCAGTTGTTTGCAGTACGCTTCTCAGGTTGCTGTTGTCTGAAGTTTCTTCATGCTTAGATTCAGATATGCATTTTTGGCAGGAAGGCTGCATAATGCTGTTGTGCCCCTGGCAGCACGTCCATTATAGCAGAAGGGTGGCCCGTGGAGCTCCTATGTGTCTCATACCTGGAGATGTTAACGTTGATCATTTGGTTAAGGTGGTTGGTGTCCCCCAGATTTCTTCACTTTAAAGTTACCATTTCTCTCTTTATAATTAATATATTATTTAATTACTTGTTGTTGTTAGGTGCCACCCAGCTGATTCTGACTTACAGTGACCCTATGTACAACGCAATGTAACACTGCCCGGTCCTGCACCATCCTCACAATCATTCCTATGTTTGAGACCATTGTTGCAGCCACTGTGTCTGTTCATCTTGTTGAGGATCTTCCTCTTTTTCACTGACCCTCTACTTTACCAAGCATGATGTCCTTCTCCAAGGACTAGTCCCTCCTGATAACACGTCCAAAGTACGTGAGGTGAAGTCTTGCAATCCCCGCTTCTAAGAAGCATTCTGGCTGTACGTCTTCCAAGACAGATTTGTTCATTCTTCTGACAGTCTGTGGTGTATTCAGTATTCTTTGCCAACACCATAATTTAAATACATCAGTTCTTCTTTGGTCTTCCTTATTCGTTGTCCAGCTTTTGCATGCTTATGAGGCAATTGAAAATACCATGGCTTGGATAAGGTACACCTTAGTCCTCAAGGTGACATCTTTGTTTTTTAACATTTTGAAGAGGTCTTTTGCAGCAGATTTGCTCAGTGCAATGCATCTTTTGATTTCTTGACTGCTGCTTCCATGAGCATTGATTGTGGATCCAAGTAAAATGAAATCCTTGACAACTTCAGTATATTCTCCATTTACCATGATGCTGCTGTTGGTCCAGTTGTGAGGATTTTTGTTTTCTTCATGTTTAGATGTAATCCATCCTGAAGGCTATAGTCTTTGATCTTCATCAGTAAGCCCTGCAAATCCTCTTCACTTTCAGCAACCAAGGTTGTGTCATCTGCATAATGCAGATTGTTAATGAGTCTTTCTCCAATCCTGATGCCACATTCTTCTTCATATAGTCCAGCTTCTCAGATTATTTGTTCAGCATGCAGATTGAATAAGTATGATGAAAGGATACAACCATGACACATACCTTTCCTGATTTTAAGCCATACAATATCTCCTTATTCTGTCCGAACAATTGCCTCTTGGTCTACGTAAAGGTTCCACATGAGCACGATTAAGTGATGTGGAATTCCCATTCTTCACAATGTTGTCCATAATTTGTTGTGATCCAAACAGTCGAATGCTTTTGCATGGTTAATAAAACACAGGTAAACATCTTTCTGGTGTTCTTTGTTTTCAGCCAAGATCCGTTTGATATCAGCAATGATATCCCTTGTTCCCTTCTGAATTTCTGGCAGTTCCCTGTTGATGTACTACTGCAACTGTTTTTTGAATTATCTGCAGCAAAATTTTCCTTACATATGATGTTAATGATATTGTTCAATAATTTCCACATTCTGTTGGATCACCTTTCTTTGGAATGAATATGTATATCGATCTCTCCCAGTCGGTTGGCCAGGTAGCTGTCTTCCAAATTTCTTGGCATAGACGAGTGAGGGCTTCCAGTGTTGCATTTGTTTGTTGAAACATCTCAGTTGGTAATCCATCAGTTCCTGGTGCCTTGTTTTGCACCAGTGCCTTCAGTGTAGCTTGGACTTTCTGTAAACTTATTATTTTTTTTTATTTATTTAGTTATTTTAAATATTACTTATTTCTTTTCCCACAGTCTTCTTTAAACGAACTGTTTTTTTTTTTTTTCCTTCTCTTGGCAGTGTTTTAGAGCACTCTGCTGCAAGGGACCACCACCTGCACGACCCGAATATGACCTGGTTTGCATAGGACTCACGGGTTCTGGCAAGACCAGTTTGTTGTCAAAGCTGTGCAGCGAAAGCCCTGAGAATGTCGTGTCCACCACAGGTGGGTATTGCGCCAGGGTTCTATCCTTTCTCATCACCAAGAGGTTCTAGTTTCTTATGCTATTTGTTTGATTTCTGCCCTCTTGTGCCCTCCTTTGCATCTCCCATCCTCCCCACCCCCTGCCTATTTTTCGCTTCAGTCAGTTTATTTATTTTAATTTTAAATACCATATTTTGTTCGTGAAAAAGATTTAAAGAGGGCCGAATAGCATTAAATTGCTGTACTCTGTATCCCCCTGGCTGATCATTTCAGTGCCACTGAATATATCAAACTCTGGAAAATATTAAAACAAACAAATCCTATGTTACTATGACAAAATGAATTCATCTCAGGCCCAATGAGTGTCATCATTTTTTGAAGTGTTACTGTGGCCTATTTTTTTTTTTTTTTGGTTTTTAATTTTTAAAACAATTTTTTTATTGTTGTAGTTTAAATGAAGTTAACATTTCAACTTAGTTTCCCATACAAAAATTTATACATACATTGTTATGTGACCCTAATTGCTATCCCCTTACTGTGACAGCACACTCCTCCTTTCCACCCCTGATTCCGCATGTCCATTCAACCAGCTCCTAACCCTCTCTGTCTTCCCATCTCACCTCCAGACAGAAGCTGCCTGTTTAGTCTCTTGTATCTACTTGAGCTAAGAGGCACACTCCTCACGAGTATCACTGTATGTCCCACTGTCCAGTCCAATCCCTATCTGAAGAGTTGGCGTCAGAAATTGTTTTAGCTCTAGGCTGACAGAGAATCCAGGGACCATGCTTTCCAGGGTTTCTCCAGTCTCAGTCAGACCATTAAGTCTGATCTTCTAACTAGTATTTGAGTTCTGCACCCTACCTTTCTCCTGTTCCATCCAGGACTGTCTGTTGTGTTCCCTGTCAGGGCAGTCATTGGTAGTAGCCGGGCACCATCTAGTTCTTCTGGTCTCAGGCTGATGAAGTCTCTGGTTTATGTGGCCCTGTCTGTCTCATGGGCTACTGCTTTCCTTGTGTTTT